CAGACGTAGAGCATGCTCTTGCGTATCGAATCAACTGATAGATATATATCCCATATGCAGGTGAGAAAGGTATATAGATGCATAAGGAAGGGAAGTTGACGATTGAATAGTTAAAGTCATCACATTTATCATAAAGTTTTGTTGTTAGATTACCATTAACGTTTTTTTTCAAGTAAAATATCCAAATACGAAACAGATTTGTCATACCCAATGGTATCTTTTATTTCAAGCTCACTTGGATATATCGTGTCGACATATGAATGAAAATAACTATTGTTAATTGATAATACGTCGTCGATATATCTTAATGCCGCGTTGAAGGCCACAGCAAGAGATTTCTTTTTCTCATGTATAAGTTTTTGAATAAATTCTGCTTCATATGAATACAAAAATAGGTCTGTAACAAAGGGGCGCAATTGGTACCCATGAGAATTCCAACAGATTTTTGGAAGACCTGGTCTCCAACGTTTTTATCAAAATAATTTCCCAAACGAACAATGACAAGGTAAATAAATTTACGAGTTCCATTACATTGAAGAAGCGGCCGTCAATAATATAAAAAAAAGTCTGGACTTTTTATTTATCGTTGGAAATGGTTGTATATAAAGTAGAAAAGTCGTAAGTTTTTATGTTGTTGATTTTGGTAAATTTTTGTGATTTCAAATTTACCAAAAGTTCCTTGGAATTTTTAAGTATCCACGCCTGATTAACACCACATCTCAAACATATTGTTGCACAGTACTCCTGAGGTTTCTCCTTCACTGCTGTTAATATTTTAGTGAGGAGTAAAGAAAGAGGCTTGGTAAAACATTTACTAGAACCCGCTATATATCTTTGTTTGTAAGGATTTGAATGAATGTAAAGAGATCTAGAAATAGCAGCACGGTGTTGCTCAACAGAGTTACCCATAGCGTATTTTCATAGCTAAATAAAATTCAATTTTAAAGCATAAAAAGGGTTTTTTTGTTTTTGTTGTTGTTAACTAGGATTTTTACATATAATGTTCACAATATGACATGCCCAACTTCTCCCTACCGATATTTTCACAGTTATATTAAATTTGTATTCTCCGTATAAAACATTATTACTACATGATTACTGAAGATTTTCTCCTTCATTTCATATGAAAACCACTTCTTTCATCAATTAGTAAACACTGGAAAACTATTAAGAACCTGTTTTTCAAGCAAACTGTATAGATTTCTCATGCAGTGTTCTTTTTCAATCAATGAAACATACAATTACAAATCTATATATCAATAATACAATATTCAACGCACTTAAACCTACTTTATCTTATATCAAAAATACATGTATAACAAAATGTCTTTCTTTGCTTGATAGTATGGGAATTAACTGTTGCAGCTATTTCAGACAAAAAAAATTACATAACCCAAATAAAATGTACTTTAATAATTTACTAAATCAGAATACTTTATTTAATATAATTAAAGGATCGATCCTTGAATTAGGGAGCGTGATTGTTTACCTCACTATGTTTTGATCATTGTTTGAACATGTTGAACGTATTTATGGAGGGGATTAATTCTGACTGATACACTCCTCTGTATATTTTTTTCACAGTCATCTCGTCCCTACTTTAAAAAGGGGGGGGGGGGACATTCCCTAGAAAAAAGAAACAACTAAGAAATCGACCTCAGTGAGGCACACATATATCGTGACAGATAAAGACGTTCAATTCCAAAGTAACAACAGCTTTCTTCTCTTATGAATGTTTATGACTTTTACCTGACAGAAAAATGTGTAAAACCTTGTAGAATTCTATGGAAAGATTAAAATGTTTGTATTTATTTTCTAGAGATACATGTATATGAATTGGTATGCATACATGTAAAAAAGAAAAAAAAACTACTAAGTAAAATTTCTCTTATTTTGTCTTGTGAATTTTGAAAATTTTAACTATTGTGATGAATTTTGTCCGCATTTATTTGGCTGGCTATTTCGAAGGCAAACTGGAATAATAGTCAACCTGTTTGAAGTGTCCACCGCAAAATTTCCTTAAGGTGGCCTCTTAAAACATGCTTGATTGTAAATTACCGGTATTTCAATCTGCGTATGTCATGAAATCCTCAAATATTGTTTTATTTTAAAATGGTAGTTACAATAGACATAACAATTTCTTAAATTCTCAAAATATCCTCTTGTTATCGGCATTTAAGCCCAATATAATCTGTATGATATTTTAAATAAGCATAAAAAATCAATAAAAGTAAAAATCGTTTTAATTAATTCATTATTATCCTCATTTTAATGACGCTAGTAGTAAAATCTATCATTATCTACTTTGATAAATTATGATTTACTTTCATAATTTTGATATCGCATTTAGGATTTTCATATAATTATCCTCATATCTACACTCATATCTACACCCAATCCACCACAGTGGTTAGAGCGTTTGTTCTAGAGTCGCGGAGTAAGGAGTTGGTCCTTACGTCGCGGGTTCGAATCCCACTGTGGGACGTGGAGACCGGTCCTTCGGATGAGACCGTATAAACCGAGGTCCCGTGTCGCAGTAGGTGCTGGCACGAAAAAGATCCCTCACTGCTCAATAGCCCTGAGTGTCGAGAATAGGTCAAAATTTGCAGCCTTTCACCGACAAGTGGTGGCGTCTCCATATAAGGGAAAATTCTCGAGAGGGACATTAAACAACAAACAAACAAACACTCTACCCACTTCCATCAGTTCTTTCAACACTTTGATTAGTAACTCAAGTCGATGTCGTAAAATATAATTTTACACATGATATTGATCAAGTGCAAAAAATATTTTCTAAGTAATATACAACTTAATTTTGATAAATTTACGAGAATTCAAAATAAAAAAAAAGTACCAGGCACTGAGTCATATCATTTAAATACATTCCTAACATCAATTATTATTTACATTCAAGACCTGTTCAAGATGATTTAATATCACTTTTATTATTCAAATGTAAAATCCAGAAATTATTAGATTTATTACCTTGTTAATAATTGATGAGGATACATAAATGTACTTTTAAAAGAAGGTTATTACCTCGTTCCCATTAGTGTTCCTAGTTTTCTCCTTAACAATTTGTAATTTGTAATTGTGAAAATTTCCGCGTCCCAAGTGAGAAATGTGAACCCTCATTATTTCATGTGTATGTTTAACAGACTAATTTAGATACATTTTAACAAACTTCAATAATTCCTTTCAGATCAATATCCAGTCCGGATTAGCACATTGAAATAAAAAAGATTCGTTACCACAACTTTGAAAATGTCGTTAAAATTTTCGTTAAAATTTTCAAATATAAGATGTCAAGAACAAAAATTTTACAAAGTCTTAATGTTTAAAACATTTTAATGAGTCTATTATACAATACATAGAATCAAATGTTTTATAGAGTGTAGAATATTAGGTATTAGTTGTGTAAGGCAATGGGAATTAAAATTTTCAAAATATTGTTCTGTTTAATAGTGTTAGTTTCATCGGCTTCATCTGTTTTGCACATGTTGTTAACATAAACAAAATTTACCAAGTACATCTCTATTACAAACAAGTCTATTAGGAATAAAACAATCAAATTACTACATGTACAACATATAAAACTAACGATAGATGATTCTTATAACACACTGTTCATCGTGTAAAATAAATATTTCTTTGACTTTTCATAAACTCAGATAAATAAACAATTTTAAACGTCTTTATATGCCAAAAATCTATTTGCTAACAGATATAAATTCATTATCGTTATGTTTTGATTGGTAAATGTACTCTACAAGATTTAAGATCTCTTAGTCATCTGACCATGATTTGGGGTTTGACAGTATATAAAGTTTAGGATTTTTAGCTTCATAGACAGCTGTTTTCTCAATAAAAATGGAACTCGTAAATTTACTTACTTTTTCATTTGTCATTTGCAGTATTATTTTGTTTTGTTAAAAGAACATTCTGCTTGTACACACAAGTACTTCGAAGCTGATGTTGAAAAGTGCTTGAGTTTCTGATTGACAATATCTTTGAAGTTTTGGAGATTGTATTCCAGCAATCTGTCGGATTGTAAATGCGCCCCATTATTAGCAGACCTTTTTTGTATTCACAGAAAGAAAGTAGAGTTCTTTCAGAGCTTCACCTGAAAAGAAGAAGTCTCTTGCTATGGCCTTAAACATTCAGATATTTCTGATTACTTTAACTTTTCTCTAGTTAACTTTTCATATTTATGTAGCAATATACCATTATCACCTGGAGAGTACGTCTTCCACTTGATTCGATACACAAGAGCATGTTCTGCGTACGAGCAATTAGTAAAACGAGGAAAGCTTTTTACAAATACGTTAATGATACATGGAAATCAACAGTCTCATTTGAATTCACCATTACGCAAATTCTATGGTCGATATAATGGCCATCATTAAGTCGAATGCTGACCGAATTTTTCATACAAATTGTTAGGTCATTGCTTTCACACTTAATTGTCCACTGAATTTTCCGTTTTTATGATCATAACAAAAAGCACCCGACATATGAGACCGATCCTAGGGTGCTTATTTCTTCAGGGCACCTGATCTCTCTTCTGATGTTTTTAGAGGTCTTTGTTTACTATTCTCCCAGTCTGCATTATTTGTATAGACTTTTGAGCTTTATCATTTCTTGTTATCTTCATATTTCATTTACAAGAAAATGACACCGTTTTCTTATATGTCTCGATAATTAAATACTTTAAAAAAGGGGGGTATAGACAAGCATGGATAACCTGCTCGTATTACATGTAAGACATAAATGCAATTTCACTGTGTAAATCATGTTTCTTGTTGTAAGCATTCATACTAGATCAGCTGAGTTCAAAACATTGTTAAAATGTTTCAAAAACATTTCTTTTATTATAGAAACAATTACTTTATAAGTGGCTCCAAAGACTTTTCAAAGTGCATGTCCTTATAATAAGGCATAGCTATATTTATATCCATCAGTATTTCTATTCATTCTTGTTTTTAACGATTTTTTAGAGTTTAAGATTTGATAGTAGACACAACATTGTTCCACAACATTTCCTTTGCCCTTTTGTCCTTTGTCCATTCTATGAGAGTTGTGGTTTTCATCAGAATATGTAAGGACTTGCTCATATTTTGCATGTGAATGTTCTCTAAAATAATCACAATCACTGCACCTTCTCCACTCTTTATTGACCGTAGTTGTGCCATGGTGGATTCGAACTGACACCACTGACTCTGTGCGAATCTGTTGGACAATATGATCAAAACTTTGCGACTGTTTTGTATGGCGTCGACAATATTATCCACAATATGCTTGCCAACTTCGAAATCTCTTTCATGCAAACATAATTTCATTTTTTCCTTCTTTTCTAGTCGCGGAATCATTTCTGAAATTACCCATACGCTATCTGACGAATTATATGAAACAAATACATCGTATTCAAATTCGTGATCTCCTAAAACCTGATACCCTCGTCTTCTTGCACTTAATCGGTAAAGTTGATATTTAATTTGCCATCTCTTCTTATACGTTATGAAAGACATTATGAGAAATAGAAAAGACACAGAGGATATGCAAATGGCAAATATGACGTAAGGGCTAAGGGGATGACAAGCTGAATAATCCAAATCAAAATCTGCTAGACTTTTATGTACCCATTCTTTGGGAAGGCTGCAGGTGTAGTTTGAGGGCCAACCTATAATTTTCATGGAATTCAGTTGTATCCAGGCTCTAAACCATACAAGATCGCATGTACAGAAGAAAGGATTTCCGCTTAAGCCAAGGTGTTTGACTTTTGCAGGAACATTTGCCTTGGTTATAGTAGTAATCAAATTATTATCCAGCCGCAAAACATTTAACATTACGTTTACGAAATTACTTAGCTGGGAATCATTTAAGCAACAGTCTTCCAAATACAACTTCCTTAGTTTTGGCATAAAGGAAAAAAGCTTTTTCGGAAATGTTATTAAAGACGTTCCTTTTAATATTAGAAATTCGATCTTTCTAAGTGGCTGAAATATACGAAATATCTTTTCAGCAACGTTTTGATGTGACGTTAGTTGTACCCCTGTCATATTCAAAAAGTTCAGATTAGGACAGTATCTGAACAAGATATGAAAGTTTCCTCTCAAAGCATTGAATTTGTTGCTAATGTCCAAATGGAGCAAGGAAGAACTGTTCAATGAATAATCTCCCAAGAGAACATGGGGATGAAGGTTGTTGATAGACAGGGTGATAAGAGAAGGTAAATGGCTGAAAGTGTTGTCACCAATGACTTTTATATTATTTCCACCAAGCCGAAGCTTTTTGAGTTTAGAGAAACACGGTCCGACTATATCTAATTCACCCAAAAGGGTTATGAAATTGTTGCTAAGATCAAGGATTTTAAGATTTGGTACATATGAACTGTTTCCGTAATCGTTCATACAAAGAGACGGAATATGCTCTAGCCTGTTGTGATTCAGCAAGATGATTTCAAGTTTTGGCAGTATTTCGTCAAAAGAGAATTCGTTAATGTGGTTGTATTGCAAAGACAAATATTTTAACTCCCCTGGTAACGAAATGTTGGTAAAATTCCGTATTATGTTATGGTCCATGGCGATTTTATTTAATGATGTCATCTTCAAATCTAGAAACATATCCGTTTAACAAATGTGTATGTTCATTTGTGTGAAACGCAGTTCCTTTATTGCACTTCCCTTAAGACCCCATAATAGTGTCCGCAAGCCTCTATTTAAAGAGTATAGAAGTGCGTTTTTTTTAAGATGTAGACTTTCTAGATAAGGAAGCATGAGAAATGCTTTCTTATCAATGTCTTGCTTAACACAATTATTGTGCATTAAAATAAGTTTCGATAGATGCAGCTTTGATATATTCAGGAACACGTTCTCTGTAAATCCTCCTAATCTATTGTTACTATATACAAGGCTGTTTATGTTATTTGGAAGAGGAGGAATGTAGTGTAAATCACCGTGATCCCTACACACTGCTTCTTTATTTTGACACACACAAACATCAGGGCATGGAATATTCCTCTCTACTGCTGGCTCAACCATGTCTTGTAGTGCCATGAATATCCATAACCTTTGGATCGTTTTCATTTTAATTCACTTCTCAATGTATCCAGTGATTAGTGGTAATGATTTCACAACCGATTAAACAAATTGTCCAAAAAAGTTTGGAACACTCTTTCGCATATTTTTAAAGTATGTTTAGAAATTGTTAACAACACATAATATCCACGTAGTCCCCGTTTCCCCTTTTATATTGATAATAATTTGCATTTTGATGATAGTGTTTCCAAAGCTATTATAATATCATAAAGCAGATCTTATTTCCTGTAACTTGACTTTACCCAATCCATTAATTCTAGTGTTTGAGGAAAAAATGTTTTGATTATCATAAAACATTCATTGAAATATAAAGAGAATATTTTACACGCAGGTCCATCAACACGAGTCATTTTAAAACGTAATATTTACTTTTAATCAAACTTTCTTGATGATCATTATTCAGAGCTTGCTACAAAAATAACTGACAATTATTTAGCTAGTGACTTCTGAGTTTATGATTCAATTAACTAGACTTAAAAGTTGTTTCCCAAGTTTTCCTTTTTAGTTAAACGCATATCATATTAAGTGTAACACATGGTCGATACAATGACCTTGTCAGCAAATACAATTTATCATTGAGTCAAATGCTGACAGACGTTTTTCATACTAATTGTTAGGCCATTATTTACGCACTGAATCGTCGACGGATTTTCCCGTTATTTCCCGATCATGACAAGGAGCACACGGCGGGTGTGACCGGTTGGCAGGGGATGCTCATTCCTCCATGGCACCTGATCCCACCTCTAATGTTTGGAGGTCCGTGTTTGCTCTGCTCCTATTTTGTATTGTTTGATGGACTTTTGAGCTTGAATACTGTTCGTTATCTCCATATATTTCATGAAACATTTTGAATGAATTCTTTGGAACACTTGAAGCAACATATAATTTTTTAACATTGACGCTACTATAATATCATAATCCCAAAACAATTTCTTCTCATCATTGATAAAAGAGAGTATTTTAAAAGAATATTTTCGTTTTTCTATTTTTCGGCAAGATATTATCATTGTTGGCTCAAATGGTCATTACTAGGAAGTTGTTTTAATCAGATTTGTTAAAGGATGAAATGCATTATACATTATGAAATTATCCATATCTGTATAAATAATTGATGTTTAACCTTTTACAGGTGCAAAATACGTGTATTCCAAGTCTAAGACAAATGTAACCCTGGAGTGGTAATGTAAACACGTGTTTTAAGCTTTCTAGCTTGTGGGTATTGTTTTCTGTATCTGAAATATCATTTGTCAAGTTCAACTGATTCAGTTACCTAAATGGACCACTTGATCATCTTTACTTTCTTATACAATATATTGTTATCCCCTAAATTCACATCCATGTGCTTTTTGATAGTTGCTTTATCAATTGTCTCATAATTTCAAATATAAATCAATTGCACAACAAGGAAATATGTAGAATTAATTTCAGGGTTTGATCTTACACTTCCTCATATAGCTCAAGGAAATTTAAAGGAAAACATATTTAATAAATCAAAGTGCAAGTCCTGTAAAGAATTGAATTTGAAGAATTTAATTCCTGTTTCATAATTGATTTTTAAAAACAATTATTCTATGTTTATTTTGTTTATAATATTTATACATACAAGAAACCTGCTTTTCACATTTATAGTATGCTAATTCAAATGTTTTTTCTTACTTAAATATATTTACTTAAATATATAAACCATGTTTTCTTTTTCTCCCATTACCAAGTATATCATACAGATTTTTCATATGTTAGTGTGGATTGAATAAATCAACAAGCCTCTATCAGAGTTTAGGTCTTTTTAATCAGACACAGTGCGCATACAAGTTAAATGAAAACAACGTAGCTCTAAAATATAATAAAATTACAATCCTATATCACATTTATCAAATCAATGCTTCATTATATATTATAAATATAGATGATATATACATAGTAATGTTTCACTTAGAGATAGATTACATCACTTCTCAAGTAAGGGAGAAAATTCTTACAGCTAATGTATAAGCATGATATATTTTTCCCATAAAAAGGCATAAAAGTAATGAAACAATTCGTCACCCTATTGTGGGTGAAAGGCTACCACAGGAATGTGCGTGGATCTTAATATCCAATGATATGTATATGGACTCTGTAATTTGATACACCATACATTAAAAATATATATTCCATTAAAATATACATTAGTAAATTAATCTGTTCACTTTGAAGAAAGTAACCAAATATCTGGATCATAAAAATGAAACATGGAGATAACGTACAGTAATTAAGGTCAAAATTCCATTGAAACTATACAAATCGGGAGCAGAGCAAACTCGGACCTCTACAAACATCACAGGTATGATCATGTGCCATGGATGAGTAAGCATCCCCTGTCGACCGGCCATACCCGCCGTTTGCTCATTTTCATGATTCGGGCAAACGGAAAAATCCGTAAGCAATTCAGTGTTTAAATATTGGCCAATTAGTATGAAAAATGTCAGCCAGCATTCGACTTAAGGTAGTCCGATCCTCAGGTTCTGAAAATCAACTTTTAAGTAATTAAAAATGCTCACAAAAATGTCTGTGATTTCACTGAGTAACATGAATTTACCCATGGCATTTCTTCAAGGTTCATCATTGTAGTTAATCATATTAAATAGGGAAAATTTTCAAATCTCAAATATATTTTTCAGGAAATGCGAATAAAAACACCAGCTATGCATTTTATACTTAAGGTAGAACCTATGTCGGAAAAGTCTTTGTCACAAGATTTTCAAACTTTTCAAAATGATAAATTAGCTCTCGCTTATCAAACAGTTAAAAATATATGGTATGTTTCTTTGTTATTAAATGTAGTGCAGTCTGTGCAACTTGGAATGATAATTCTACACTTTTTATACTTTCAGCCATTTTTAGGGGTACTGGTCATAAAGAATATAATATATAATAAATGAAGTGAATATAATAAATCACTAAAATACTTCTTCAAACATCGTCGTTTATAGACTTTATTAACTGAATCATATTAAGCAATATTATTCAAGAATAAATTCTTTTTTATTCAATTGACATAAAAGATTAAGTCCACATTTCAACGAATATAGGCAAATGTGCTCAATATTTTTTGAGTCAATTTACCACCTAAATTTGTAAATATTTTTCAAAAGTCTTTGTCAGAATGATTTCAATCTTTAATATGATGAAGAACATACCCAAATAATTACAAAAAGTGATTAAAATATATACCTTTCCCCGCAAACGAATGAGAACCATCCATACTTATCCATACTTCTTTTGTTGACCTTTTTGCACTTACCCAGGATTTAATTATTAAATTACTGTTTTGGGGTTACGATCAGATTTACAATGTGAATATTTATCAAAAAATGTATTTTTTTTTATTTAAAAAGATAATATTTTAGGGAAACATTATTATTATACACCAACCATTATGAATAATTAACAAATAATTATGAAAGGGAATGCACGTCATTTCATGATAGACATTACAAAATTTACACACAATTTTTAACAGATCTTTGACTCAGACACTTTTCATCAAGATATTGTTCTATTTAGATTTCTTAGGATTTTTTATTTCCTTCAAAATAGTTGAATGTCATTCACATTATCACAGTTTTGTAACTTCATTACATGAGACATTCTTGAAGAAAGTACGGGAAAAAGTAACATTAAATTAATTATGACGTCATAATGGATCTAGCACCAAAAAGACAGTCTAAACTAATTTTCTCAGTATGACGTCATACGACGTAGGTTCTACGTTAAAAGTTGATCAACAAATATATTTTAGGATAAAAAAAAATATAGGTATCCAGGCATTTGGAGAAAATTGCATCTTTTTATGCTTATATAGTATTTTAGATATTCTATTTACTTCAATTGTTATATAATACATAGTGTAAAAAGCTTGTAATATCATTGTTAGACATTACATATCATGTGTATTTTCATATCATGCTAATAAGCATTGATATCTAATGCTAGATTAAAGGAAATTCAATTTCTATAAAAATGAATTTATTTTTGTCTTTTATGGGGTACAAATGTCAACTTTTTACAAGACCGTTTCTAAGACTCCAAAGAACTTTGAATCCTATTGAGATGCATAAAATGAAAATTGTTGCATGAAAAGATCTCAATTTCAAGCTTCATTTTGAGACTTTTTAAATAAAATAATAAATTTAAGAGTTATCCTTCCTGGCTGAGAATCGGATATCTTTAATGATAGACTGTATTTGCTGAAAAGGTCATTGTATTGACCATATTTCCTGCAAAATGATGACTTTTGACGAAACCGTTCATATTTTTGTGTCATAAACTTGTTTGTCAATAGCTTGTCTCGTATTAGAAATTCTTCGTACATGTTCCTGTGTATCAGATCAACTAGGAGATATATATACCCCATATGCAGCTGAAAATGGTATATTGCTACATAAATAAGGGAAGTTGACGATAGAAAAGTTGAAGTTATTATGTTTATTATGATGTTTTGAGATTATAAGACGGGGTTGAAAATAGTACAAAATCACTAATATTTTGTTAATAGTCTGCATGGTGATAGTGATAAATGGGGGACAGATTAGAACTTAATTTATGAGTTGTTACTGAATGCTAGACTAATTATTTCATTGATCCTTATCATCCTATTTCTTTTGCTTTTGGGCAAAAGCTTCATCTATCAGTTTAATTTATACTCTATGGATCCTTTAAATTGTTGTATTATACTCAGGTGACCGTTAAGGCACTTGCGCCTCTTGTTCGTTTAAGCCACTAACACTGACAATCGCAAAGAAGCGCAAACATAGTTTTTCAAAGTTTCCCCTTGATCCTGTCATCGAAAGTCGATTATAATTAACCATGTGCTAGTGATATCAAGGCAGATCTGAGCCATTTCTGCATCATACCCTTTGCTTCTCAGTTTTCGAATTCCATCAATATATGCTTTCTCCTCCATGGCACCCGATCCCGCCTCTGAGGTTTTAGAGGTCCGCGTTTGTTCTGCATTGTTCCAAAGGAATATTGCTGTTCGTTGACTTCATACAATTTCATGTACATGCCATTCTCTGTAATGACTTGAACTTCTATATAGGAGCTGTGGCACTCATAGTCACAGACTTTCTCCAAACTCTCTATGATAAAAGTCTTTGATACCGAAAACTCAAATCAGGCAAAAATTGGTTGCTACGTGTCATGGTTACCATAGCAACATGTCCTAACTTTTGAAAAATGGCATTTTTCAACATATTCAGAGTCCCACAGTTAACGTTTTCGGCAAAGCAAACAAGTGGCAATGACAGTTTCAGAAAGTTGAAGGCCTGATGTCTTAAATGCATGATAAACATGTTTGGTAAATCAACTATTACATACGTTACTATGGAAACAAAGTATTCAAAGGTAGTAATTTTGTTCACTTAATTTTATAAAGCTATACACTTAAGAATAAAAACAATTATAGGTTTAGATGTAAGCAAATAATAGACAAAGGATCCTTGTAACATATACCAAGGATGTAATATGATGTTTCTTCTAGGTTGGCAATGGTTGCCATGGTTTTAATAACACAAAGGGATTTTGATTTACTCTCTTAATGTTTAATCTTATCCTTTCTTTTTAAAAGGCATATTTCTATATAACTGATGATCAATTTTTAAAGGTATTGGTATGACCCTAATTTTCACATCTCAAAAAATTCAAATTTAATTCTTTAAATAGAGCGTTGCTATGGAAATTAGTCGAAAAAATATGCATACAAATCTGAAAAATATCCTGTTTCCTTGGATACGTACCGTTGTATGTAGATTCCCAAAACTCTTATGATTGATATTTATGAACAACTAACCTGACTTTCAATATTGACTACCACTCAATCTCTAACTGGATGCAAAAAGCTGGCACATAGGGTTTAATATTGATATAAAATTAAAAAATCGAACATTTACCCTTCTTGGTAACCATAGCAAGTGACTAGCAACAGTGTTGTATTTTTCAACAAACTTTATCAATATATGATATTCAACCTTAGTTCTATCAGATAAATACTATTCAAGGTGAGTCAAATAATATGTTTCTTGATTAAAACGTAAGTAAATTCCTAAAGCAGCAAAAAAATATCACTTGAAACAACTGGTACGTTGTTTCCATGGTTACACTGCAAAGTAACAATTAATCTCAATTTTTCTTATGTTGTCGGTGTTGCAAAGTCCTAAGGAGGTAAATGTGCCAGTCATGAATTCTATTGTTTTTCCTCAAGATAGTAGCATTAACCCAATCATAGGAACAAATTTGCATGGTTTCACTGAGTTACCATGGCAACCATGAAAGTTGTTTTCAGAATAATATTGCCAATACCTAATTACTTAAGGTCAAATATATATATATATTTTTTTTCTTTGGTTGTTAATTGAGTTTGATCATATAACATCTATCATTTGTGAATATTGAGCGTTTTTCAGCATTTTTCAGCATCTAGAATGTATTCCAAATGTACCCACAGTTACCACTTACTAAGAGATAAATTCTAAATAGTTTCTTTATAGCATAAGTTGCAACAAGGTTTCATTTTTTTGGGAGAATGGTTTTTTGTTTTTCTTGGTCTTTATTAAGGCGTAATAAAGATTCAAAGTAGCTGAAAATCTCATTTTTTTCAATTTTTCTGGCTGTTACCATGGCAACCAAAACAATGTTATCAAGGTGTAATAATGGGCAAAGTTTCATCAAAATCGGTGACCATGCGTGGCAAAGAAGTTTAAGTGGTTACAGAGAATCGATATTAATGATATCCATGATATAGGTAAACGTACACAATACTAACAGGAAAATGGTCTACAAAGTAAAAAGGCCAACAGTAAAATTTTTCTTGCAATGTATATTATTTACTTTAATAACTTTTTGTCAAAATCATTTACCAATTTTCAATTCAAAATTGAGAAAAGAAAAATTTGGAGAAGTGAAATAATATTCACAAGCCTTTCAGCAAGTGATTATTACACTTTTATCGTGTTATTAAATTATAATTTTAAAATTATTTGAAAAAGGAATCCTATTCTGTCGACTCAGATTTTCTGGCTGTTCAGCACTTTGGAATTATATCAAGAATAGCGGGAGACATATAAAAATACCATTCAGGACAAATAGAATTCAGAAAAAAACATTTTCCCCTCAAACTTTATAAAGAAGTTTAAGTTGATCTTGTATAAATGTGAAATTCATTCAGTTTTTAAGAAAAAAAAGATACCAAAGATATCCATCAAAACACACCCACAATGATTCTTAATCATCTTTATTCCAACACCCGAGAAATATAACAGAAACTTGTACATTTAAGTTCTAGGATTTGCTTTTATTGAGTTTTAATTTTTTGCGAACTATCTATCTTTTCGTTTTCACTACATCAGAGATGATAATAGAAATTAGAAAGACTACAAGAACAATATATTTTTGTTCCAGCAGACAAGGCTTGCAGCAATATTGTCCTCGTTTGTAAGGCTCATTATTATTTCTGTATTTTAGAAGAACTTGGTTTTGATTCTAAGTTCGTTAATCAAACTTATACTCACAATTCATTCTCCGAGGATGAACTCCTTAAACTTCTCATTTCAGTGTTTAATACTTTTAACATTCCAGACAACCAAGATGAGTTCGATCTACCCTACTGGATTCCTAAACTTCATAAAATTCTTACAAACAAAGATACATAGCGGGTTCAGATTTGATTTCAAAAAGATGCCAAGTTCCTCATCGACAATAATTATGTAGTCTTCGGAGACCAGGTCTCCTTTGAAATTGTTGCAATGCAGATGGGCACTAATTTATACTAATTTATTAACCGACCTGTTTTGATATTTCTATGAAGCAGAATTTATTCGAAAACTTCTAAATAGAAGAAGAAAATGCTTGCTTTGGCCTTCAACGCGACAATCAGATATATCGATGACGTTTTATCAATTAACAATAGTTATTTCCAATTACATGTCGACTCAATATATACCAGTGAAGTTGAAATAAAAGACAACACAGAGTCTGTAACATTTCTTTCATATTCGGATGTTTACTGATTATAGACCATAAGGGCTAAATGACTAAATTTCTTCATCTTTTACATCGTCAACTTTCCTTATTTATGCTGTAATATTCCGCTTTATTATACCTCTGTGAATTTTTTCTATATAAAAATATGACGAATAAACCTGCTATTTTTTTAAACCGTGGAATAGTTTTTGTGCTATTAGCCCATGGTGAAATAGTCATCAAACTATTCACCGGCAGCATTCCGTTTCCCTCGCTTTTCATTTCGGAGCTCTTCTGGTTTTATCCAGATTGTGACGTAACACAAGTAAAGTCGGCTTCGGTATAATAAAACACCTATTTACTGACTATTCGGACAATAGCAAGTTTATCGTCCCCCTCGACAGCAACTTTTTCCCTCGGCTGCGCCTCGGGAAATAGTTGCTGTCTTGGGGGACGATAAACTTGCTATTGTCCTCATAGCCAGTAAATAGGTGTATAATCACTTATTGTGTTTACGTCTCAAACTTATTATATATATTAGGTAAATCATCAGATCATAAGGTTATTATAACGACCATAGAATTTACGAAATGCTGTCTTTAAAAGAGGTTGCTGAAATCTCTGTAACATCAATTCATCTGTCAGTAGCCTGCCTTAGTTTAAAATTGATCAAAATCAGAGCATGCTCTTGAGTATCAAGTAATTTGGGAGATAGAAACAACACATGCTTATTTTAAAAGGCATGTGAACATAATGTCACTTTAACCATTGTTTTCTACTCTTTTAATGAAATAAATGGAGATAACGAACAGTATTCAAGCTCAAAAGTCCATCAAACAATACAAAATAGGAGCAGAGCAAACACGGACCTCCAAAATATCAGATGTGGGATCAGGTGCCGTGGAGGAGTGAGCATCCCCTGCCGACCGGTCACATCCGCCGTGTGCTCCTTTTCATGATCGGGAAATAAGTAAATTAAGGATTTTTTTTAAAATGATTTAAAAAAAGATACGTAGGTACTATGCATTGTAAAAAAAAATGTTGGAAATTTTATTTCTACTGGACATATTCTTGCTAAATATGTTATCATAAACTTATAAATGATACACAAGAGTGATATATAACGTTAAATCTTATAACTGGTAGCAGGAGTGACTCAGTTTTACCTTGATATCAAAGTCCCTAATTTGCGCTTTAAACCTTTATTTGGGTTGCCAAAGTACGTTAAAAAAAGACAAAAGGAACATAGGGCTTACAAATTCCTTTTGCAGAAACAACCATGCGTTTGGTAATCAAAAAGAGTCGCTGACTATAATCGCTGATCACAATTAGATATCAATGTTCCAAGGTTAATCACAATACAGACCAGGTTAGAAGATGGATAGGATTTCTAAAGTACAGTTACATAAAGGGCTGTATCTGGAGACTGGTTTAAGTAAATATTACAGTTTGTGCCTTTGTTTACACGATTCAGTTTTCTTGACAGTCTATCAATTTAATCTGTATTATGACTAATACACTTTTACATAAAGGGACCCTATTACATTTTCCCTAATATGTTACAAATAAAGAAAACAGAGAGTAAAGTTAATTGTACTTCCTTAGTGTAATAAAACAACTAAAAAAATTATGATGAATTATGGTTGAAGTTTTTTAAGTACCCTTTGGTTGTAATGTTCCTTCTTAAAATGTAAGCAACAATTCATTGATCAGACACAACAAGGTTCTTTTGTAGCTGCAAAATTGCTGTGTTTTTTTTTTTTTGGGGGGGGGGATGTTATTATATGTTTCGTTTTCTTCGTTTCACTACGGGAAAATGATCGAAAATATTTTGACAAAAGAAAAAAAAGATGATGAAATGGTTTATTTAAAAGCATTTAAAAAGAAGAGAAAAACTAGAGCCGTATAACATTATTATCTTCTTTACTGGTATCACATCTGATTGCAAATGTTTTGGATTTGAAACATCTATATAATTTTTAATTATCTGAAGAAATACTGTAGAAGCAAAAATTTCGTTAAAATAACATTTCCTTGATTTCTGATGAAAAATTGTTTCGTGGAACTTTGATTTCGTTCTTTCAAAAGAAACCATATTCTATATATAGGTATTTAAAGGGGCTTAGAGTGCAGAGTTTAACAAATTGAACACACCCTGTGAAACGTAAACATTAACAATAATAGAGCACGTGTCCTATTTAAAAAGAAACAGTTTACGTTTCACGGGTGTGTTCAATTTGGTAAACTCCGCACACATCACTGAGCAAGGACTGACAATACTGGTGAGTTGGTTTTGCTTTCTCACATTTCTACTCTGAATTTTCTGGATTATATTTTTAATATATTTCATTAAAACACAACAAAATTTCTACTTTTCTTAAGTATTAAGGATAAAGTTTACTTTGGGAAGTGGCAAGGATGTGTCAACCAAACGCGTCCCAAAATTCGTAGTTTCAATGATTTCCAGATAAAATAAGTTTTTATCATATTTCCAAGTGAGATGCTATAACAACATATAAGTCATGCTATTATACAGAATATTTGAGAAAATATTAACTTCAAATCTGTGTCTAAGCCCCTTTAAAAACTTCGTTTGAGAATTAATTTCTTTGATAATTCTTAACTACGAAATAAACAAAATATAATCTGTATCAAATATTTCTGCTTTGACAGTTGATCGCCAAAGGCACATGGTCGTGCACTCTTAGTGCCATCGATCGACACGCTGATATGCTTGGACGTTGTAACACTGCTTGTCTGTTTCATTCCACTCAAAATCTATGCAGCAGAATTTAGAAGAGGAGACACAGTGAAAACCCCTTCATGATGGTTCAGTTAATATATTGAGGTATGAGAAATTTAATTGCATGTTTTAGAGTAAAGTCAGTTTTGGTTCAAGAAAAAAAAATCTGCAGAAATTTTTTTATTATATTTTAACCTTTGAATTTAATACCCAGAATTTTATATAAATTCATATTAAGAACTTTTATTCCTGAGAATATTAAAGAAATTCATTGACTAGTTTTCGAGAAATTGTGTGCAAAAAATTTTGTCTAAAAAGGAATAATAACTAGAAACTCATTGCGAGCAACGAGAGGTCTTCGTCCTATTCTCCATCCTTGTATTATTAAACATATTTATATATGCTAGTAATAGTGACACACACAGGAAATGCGCACTTTAAAAGAAATAGTTATTAAGGTAAATATCACAATGAAAT